AAGGTGTCAACGTCTTCTTTTTCATATCTGGCCCATCGTCTGGCGTAATTTTCAACAGAATCCATAATACTTATGAAATTCCGACGCCAGTTGAAGGATCGGGGTTCCCTATATTTAGGACCTTTTAAAATAAGTGATCTAAGGTCCTCATTACTAACTATATTTACGTCACCTGTAATAACGTGTCCAGCAGGACTATAGTTATAGGGCGAAGAAGAACATGAACACGAAGGAGGATTATGTTTCAGATCGTCGGTATCCAGGCCATGTAAAGTGTTTTTGTAATTGAAAAGTTTGGAAGCAATGGTCGATGTATATTTGTAGGAAATACAAGGTGTAGTCTTTAACTTGAAATATGGTGGAATACAAGACTGGACCCTTTTGTGATTAAGAATATTACTGTAAATCACTTTTTATTCGCGAGAACTTTATTTTCGCGTAATTACGCGAGACAGTGTGCTCGCGAAAATTAAATTCTCGCGTATAAAAGTATTCCTTAAGATTATATAGAACAATAACCACAATTCGTGAAAATTTTGTCTTGCTAATCAAGAGTCAATGACTATCTCGCGAAAATAAGGTGTCGCGAAAATTTAATGATCTACAGTACTTACATTAACCGCGTCAATTCCTTTTTTGGCATATTGAAGTTTAACCCCTAACATGGCATATACGCATTTCTACGCATCTGACTTGAAAAACGAGAGTAGTATGAAAAAACATTTATAACTTCGTTAATACTGCAAATATCAGAATAAATCTTACACCGTTGGAAAGAGAAAATAATTACAATAAAATAATATACAGAAAATTTTTTTATAGGTTGTACCAGTTTTTTGCTAGCTTGAGTTAAACTTTGTGCACTATTTGAGCGATTTTGCCATTATCGAATTCAATGCAGGGGTAACACGTTCTATGTAAAAATGCAAATTCTGGTGATTACCTCCCAACCCCACCCATCCCCACAAAATACTTAAAATTGGTTTGTAAAAAAAATGTACAACATGCTCATAATTTTCAACACAACAATAAAATATTTTGTTAACATATTTAACTAAGCAAAAAACTAGAATGAAACTAATTCTTGAATAAATGGAAATTCCAGCATGATTATGGTGTATTTCGTTGCCATGGCAACTGAAATGATATTTTATAATCATTTTCAGAAACTACATAATACCTGCTTTCAGAATATATATACATTGGTGTATACAAAAATTACTAGAAATATTCAAAAATGCATTGAAATCTTAATATTAATTTGTCTAGAAATGCTTAAAATCTTTGCCATGGAAGGGGTTAAGGAAAAGACGGATTGTTTTAGCTGCATTTTCTTCCGTGAAACGTGCGGGTTTAAAAAGCCTATGATATGCAATATCCATAATCACATGTTTTACAAAATTGGCAGAACCCCTACGCAATTAAGACACTATCTCATAATGGCAATACTGAACAAAGTATTTCTATGGTAAACTGTTTTCTAGCATGCTTCTAGCTCGTTGTAAAAAAAAATGTAGGTGCTGAAATGCGCATGCATACGATTTGCTGTACTCTGAGGTTTAAAGAGGTTTTCTTTTAAATTAATTGAAACAAAACATTTTTCAACAAAGAAAAGTTCCAATATAGCTAATACGAATAAATCAATTTTTAAAAATCGCATAAATTTATTGACCATATGCATAATTTAAACAAAGACAAAATGAGAAACTGACAAAGAGAAAACCTTGTTTTGATAAAATATAAGATAAGTTTTCAAAATAGATGAAAGTCAAATAGACAACCTACAACTCTTATTGTAATTATGTATGGCTGTTTTAAATCCCTTTGGACTATATTCGAAAGAAGGTTTTTTAGATGAAAAAACAATGACTAGTATTGCAATTATTATTAGACTGAAACATGCAAAAGTCACCATTGTGATGAAGGCTTCATTTGTCATGACTTGCCAAACACTTTTGTCATTAACTGACGTTGATACAAGGGTAGATGATTTTGTTGTTTGTGATGCTCTGGATGACGTTGATGCTAAAGATGATGAGAATCCAATGGATGCTGAAGTCGTTGACGATGCTACGGATGATGATGTTGTTGATGATGTGGGAATTGTGGATACTATAGAGGATGTTGATGTTTTGAATGATGTGGTCGTTGTAGATGTTAATGATCAGTTGTTGTTAAATGCGATATGGGAGTAAATACTGCAGACGATGTTGTTGTTGTTGTGGTGTCATGAATGTTGTAGTTGAAAAGGATGATGTTGATGACACATATTTATATATATGGAGATATCGAACAGTATTCAGGATCAAAAGTCCATTAAACAATACAAAATAGGAACAGAGCAAACACTAATAATTATCTCAGTATTTGACTTTTGTGCTTCATCTTTCACAAGAAAGGTTTCATTTTTCAATCAATTCCTGACTCTTACCATCACTAACAATTTTATCGATCCTTTGCATCTGAACATCCTTCACTTTCCACAAACACCAAAAAGCGATAGGTTGTATGGAAATATCTACACCCTCTGGCGCAGATGCAGTGAAAGTTATAGATTCTCTGGATGCTGTGGATGTTATAGATGTTGTGAATGATCTGGGTGTTATAGATCTTGTGGATGTTGTAGTTCCTGTGGATGTTGATGATGTGGTTAAGGATGCTATCACTGTTTTTGATGATGTGATTGTTCTAGATGCTGTTGTCGATGTTGATGCTGTTGATAAGGTAGATGTTACGGACGTTGTAGATGCTATGGACATTGTGTACGCATCAGCTGTTGGGGCATATGAACATCCACTAAATGGACCAGATTGAGTTGGTATTGTGATAGAGGAAGGGCTTCCACAAAATGAAAAAAATCATTTTGTGGCAATTGTCATTTTTTAAAAACTGGTTTAACTAAAAAAAAAAGGACAAAACAGTGGCAAAATGTCCATTGAAAAAGGACGGAAAGTCGTTGGAATGCTGATCGATATCTGGATCATCCTTGCACCAAGGTTTACGCACTTTTATTTTAGTGTCTATTTATCCTTGATATTACCTTAAAAAATAAACAACCAAGTACAAAAACCCATTTAAAAACATTTTTCTACAGGATGTTCGTCAATTTTCATTGCCAACTTATCCCAGTTTGAAAGCTTTGGACAAAATTTAACTAAACCGGAAGTGATCTGGATCTTTGCTTGAGGCCAAGATTTCGAGTCGCAGCCAGGTTAAAAGTTACAAGTTACATTGTCCTGAAATAAATTTAGAAACATTCAAACAAACAGAGTCAATGGTAAGAGCATGATAAGAAATTGGTGCTCGTGGTAGTCTAATATCATCTCAAAGAGTCTGAAACATCCTTAAAGTGGTACACTTGTAAACGTGCTTAACGCCAAAGGATATTGACTATAAGGAATCTTTGTGATGATGCACTGCGAAATCCCCGGATCTGAACCCCATTGAACACATTTGAGAATTTCATAAGGAATGTCAACCCCACCCACCCACCCCCCTTTTCACACAATTCAACGGTTTATACAAAGATCTATGCAGTGTTGGGCAGCAGATGGTGGGTCAATCTCCTATTCAGGGGTACATGGTATTTATGAGAAAAGGGTGTCTTGCAATAATTAGAGCGAGTGGAGGTCTTATTCCACAGAGATTATTTTATGTGAATTTTCACTTTGAGGGTACATCATGTCCTTAACACTTTGCTTAACATTCTGACGAGATACGAGGGGTGATAAAAGAATTCGCGAACTAAAAAAGAAACCTTGTTTGGTTTCAGTGTTGATTATATTTTAAATTAGTCCTCTCCGATTTTAATGCACATCAACCACCGTTCTGCGCATGTGCGAATCTCGTGATATTGGCGGTCACGTGACCCCCTCTGTAGCGTTCTGTCACAAAAGCTGAAAGATTTTTCTGAGTGATATTAATATTTCTTTCCATGTAAGTTAATTTTCATAACAAGAACAGCTAGTTCATTTGTCAGATCTAGAAATGGTTAAATCTCAGCAACAGAATGGGTAGATAAGAATATCCTTTCCAAAAATAAGCATGGCGACCATTAAACACAAATCTGCTGTCTCGGGAGAGACGGTTATTCAAGGTAGATAGAGAATGGTTTCCTCCTTTTTATCATATCTAATATTATTAAAATCTAATGTAAACGATACTTAGTATCTTAGGTATTTAATAATTATATTATTGTTCATCTATTCAACAATTGTTCAAAGTGTTAATTGGAGGTCTTTGATAGCAAATTGCTTAATTAAAAACACATATCTTTTTAAACTTGCTTTCACTGAGCAACATGACATGTATCATTTTAACCATCTGCATCCCTTCACTAAAACGATCAATCCAATCATTGATTAAATTTATAGTAAATCATTTGTCTTTATAAACTGTGTACAAACTATTATATATTACGGTATACCCGGTACAATAAATTGTACAGTCGTTTGTTGAACGAGTACGACAGAGACAACCATTTTTCGTCACAAGTGACCTACATAGTGACGTCATTTTCATATTGTGACGTCACAAACAAGGAGCAAAACTTTATTCAGCATACGCTATTTATAGAACTTGTGTATGGTTATGTATGTACCAAATTTCATTCTAATTGAATTGTGGGTTTGTAGATATAGAGATAGTTCGCGAACTTTTTGATCACCCCTCGTACTTACATAAAATTTAGGGAACATCGAACTGAAATATGCAAAATTAACCATGAATTAAAGAAATTATTTGTTGCATGCATTTTTTCTTTAGAATTTAAAAATTGTTAGATGAACACTTAGAAGTTTGGTTCAGTGTATATTCTGAAAAGTAGTATTTGTGTGGCTGTCACATTTGGAGATTTTCTATCATCCAATTTGCATAAGGCAGAGTGTCAAGACAAGATAACATTTATAACAAAAAAAAAGAAACAAACAAATAAACAAATTGCTACTGATTGACTAACATTGATAAGAGTTCGTTATTCTTGACACAGTTAGGCCTTTGTTATCTGTAATACTTCCACATGTATTTATAGCTACACATAATACTGTCAACATGGTATATCCAGTCTTGGTTTTGCTTTTTTGTTCTATTTCGGACGTCAGTTGTCTTCTGAATAGCGCGGATCCCACGGTACTCACGACAGCCTCCTCTTCAAACACCCTCGATTCCCAGTTCACGCATCAACTTCTTCTTCAAGAACAACAACTCCGGATAGAACTGCAGAAACAGATAACAAACATCCAGTCTCAGATACAAGGTGTGTAGGAAATATTTTTAAGAAATACATAAAAAATGCTTTATTAAGAGTTTACCTCCATCTTTCCTTTTCAGACCTGAGGACTAATGTTGTTACTTGTGAGAACAATTACCGAAATCTACAGACAAAATTTTCCGACATGAATGCCAATCTGTCGACAATTGGTAAGAAAATACATTTTTAAAATCTTCAATATACTTCATTAAATAGATAATACATACTGCACATTACATTTGTTTTCTTGATTTCTACAAATAAAATATATTCACAGCAAACAGACAGGAAGTAGCTTTCTTTGTGAGGCTTCGTAACAGAATAACCAATCACCACCAATCTACCATTATCGTCTTTGATGACGTCCAACTGAACAAAGGAAATGCTTATGACGCAAATATAGGGACATTCACTGCCCCTGTCAATGGCATTTACAAATTTGACCTGGTGCTCTCAAGTGACGTAGAAAACGGTCACGGAGAAATGATGCATAATGGCGTCAACATACTTGATGTGTACGCAGATAAACACACCCAGAGTTGGTTTGGTCGAGGAAGTGGTGCAATCATAGTGCTCATGAATAAAGGGGATAAAATGTGGATTCAAAATACAGATACCGGAAACACGGTCATCAATGCTGGAATTGAAACGGCATTTTCTGGTCATTTACTGTTTCTTGCATAAAAGAAAAACTTAAACAATTTTTTTTTACTTTTTATTTTTAAAAATTCTCAATAGGAGAAATTGTTTTTTAAAAAGTGAAACATCGATTGATGCCCACGTATTGCATCTTTGCTTACCAATGGTTTCCGATCCGAAATCTACTCTACAACGTTTTAGAGTAGAATTCGGATCGGAAATCCTTGGCTAGCGAAGATGACGTATGGCAGCTTTCGGAAAAAATGTTTCAAATTAAGCCAAGGCCCAAGGTTAGGCTAAAGAGATAAAAATGTTGATACATGTACCCAACGAAAGATCTTATCTCAATGAATATATTTGTTAAATATGAAAGCCCAATAACAAAAGACCAAAATTATTCTTTTTTTAAGTAAGCTAAATTCAAAGGTCAAGTTCAAAGGGTCAAAATTTATTTTACCCAGGTAGGGTCGAACTCTAAGGTCAATGGCAAAAGTTATACCTATGAAAAGGTCCTGTCGCAATGAATACACAAGTAATAAGTACATGTTTGATAGGGCATAGCACCAACTCTACAGAATGACCAAGGGTAATAATTGCGTTTGGTAAATTTTTGCAAAAGTAGGTCAAACTCCAAAGTAAAGATATCAAATGGGGCGTAAACCTGATATGGAGATTATGATTCCCAGTTGATTTGATACGCAATCCAAGTGCATGAACTCTTTTTCTTTAAAAAGAAAATCCAGACGAACTACTGACAAATAAGTTGATACATAAGGATAACAATCCACAACCTCGATTTTTCTCTATCTCTTTTCAAAGATTTCATCTCTGGTGTTTTTAGATGTCCGTGTTTGCCATTCCAACAATTTGAACAAGAATTGGGGCGAAATCTAATCACTCGAGACGTACGCGACTTTTCTAGGGGCAAGTTGACCATCTCGGTGCGAAACAGAATTGGCGCGAAACATCCCGTATTCGATTAGGCCTACTTTCGTTTTCACAAAGAGGTACACATGTGGCCAGTGTGGGCACTGAATACTGAAGGAATTTATTATACAGACATCTTAGATGTAATTCTATGAATATATGTCTATTCTTGTGATTTTCCTACTTTGAACAAAATTTGTTACAAAGTGAAAATTGTCAATTCTGTAATTAGGTAGGCCTTACATACAATATACAAAATTTAAATATCTTCACAAGCTAATACTTCTTTTAAACTAAAAAGTTTTCAATATATAAATAAAGGAGCCACTAACTACAGGTATTATGACAGTCCATAATATCAATGCTTACATTTGCATTCATTTCCTTAGCTCGAATTTTCTCTCTTCATTTCACAGTTCAACAATCGAGCAGTGAGATCAGTGACCTGCATTTTTTGTTCATTCGATAACTAGCGAAAAATGAGTCATGATTTTACATTTTCCTTCTATGTATTTCATTATTATTGTATTAGGGTTATTTTTTTCAAAAAAATGGGCTTTTTAATGAAATATACAGTAAGATGTTTAAATGTGATTATCAGCTAGATCATGGCCAACTAACATTTGGTCATGTGCTGTGCGTCCCTGGTTAGATCATCTCGCATAGTCGTTACACTCACTTAAGTATGTGATAGGATATAACATTATTTTTATTAGAGTGCTTGTTATACAGCACATAATCATGCTGATTATTGAATATTTTTTTTCAGCTTTTTTCCATGTGATCAGGAACCAAGGAATGTAGTCTGTGGACTTGAAAATGCAAACTACAACAACGTATGAGAAAATAAGTTCACAATACTTTAACAGAATGTTTAATGTTTTCAACAATAACTTGAAATATGAACAATCTTAATCCATTGACAGAGTTAAACGAGGAATGTTTTTACCAATCAGAGTAGTCCTCTGTGTATTCACACCTGTCAAAAGTATTAATTGACAAAAAGGGGAACGGCGGAGATGACACCCCTCTCCCTCCATTACCCCCAGACAAGTCTAACAACCTCTTTGTATTTTTTGAATGAAAAAATTAAAACCCCACAATTTAATACAATAATTATTTTTAAAAAGCATTACTTATCTTTGTTACCTTCTTAGATTTTAGTTGTTGCTGCTTTTTCAGATGAAATCTCTTCTTAAAGCACCCTGCATGATCCTATTAATAATTATATGATGTGTATACAAGATGCATTTTATTCTTTTGTTTGAAACTGGTTCCTTTTTTAACAGGGTTGTCACATCAGTCTTACTAAGCTTCTTTATCAGACATGCGGAAGATTATATCTGGAGTGCTTTGTTTAACATGGAACACAACTCAACATTACAAATACCGGTAGATATATTGTCAGATATCAACCAATCACTGATAGAAAACTATAACAGAAGTTTAAAAGATATCTCAGAAAAATGTGAAATAAAGTTACATATAGCAGAAGAAAAAATAAACAAAGTTTGCATGAGCTACAATTCAGAGAGTAAAAAATTACAGGATAACTATGAAAATTGTTTGGAAAAATATAACAAATATGAAACGGAAGTGAATAAAACATTGGAGAAATGTGAAACGAATGTGAATAAATCATTGGTGGAATCAGCCACTACTGCCAGACGAATCAATGAAACCCAGAGCGATTTGGAGATTGTCAAGATAAAACAGGATTATGACAGAAAAACACAGTTAAATCCAGGTATGACTCCCAATGGAAGGGTGCAATAACTTTGTCATCTCTTTTGTTTTAAGAAATAAAAATATTTTGGGTAAAAGTGTAGGTGAGTAAAGTTAAAAGCCAAAAATTGTAAGGTCTGGAAATCTCTAAATCCACTCATTATCCCAATAAATGATTAACTGCTTTGATTAATACAGATTTAAATTAATACTAGTATTTGGTGCATACAAGTATGTTTTCATGAGTCAAATATTGTCACTTTTTAAGAATACGCGGTATATTGTTTGCTGCAACACATACTTTATAAATTTCTGAAATTTCTTTCTCCCATCCATTCAGAATTATTGCTGCTGTCTGTGTTTTTGCTGGGGATAGGAGAATTTGTGGTTTTCATGCTCCTCTTGAATGCACTCAAAAAACTAAAAGCGCTAAAAGGACAATCAAGGTCTGCTGACATATCACAGAATTCAAATGCTACAGCACCTGGAAGAAACAGGTTCAGTATAAAAGGAAAGGTAGGTTACCTGTAACAACCCCCCCCCCCCAATATTTCCATTGAAAATTTTCAATGATCTTTATCTCAATGATTGTGAAATCAAATTTATATTTATTGATTTCCTTTTTGACCCTTTGGAGAAATTGTATTTTTAAAAAAAATATGTAAAAATTCAATGCATAAATCACTGTTTTTCCTGTAAATAATTATGGTCAGAAGTAATATTTTGAAATACAGAAAACAAAATATAAATTGTCCAACTTTAAATGATTTTTAAAATGCTTTTTATATGTGTGATTTAATTAATTTCATTTTCAACCTTGAAGGAATTCTCAGGACTCGAAAGATCAGTCGCCATCGTCAGTTTCAACGACAATCGACAAGCGGAACACCAGAATTTAATGAAAGACATTTTATCAGACATAGAAACTCAGTCTTTCTCTATCACCAAAAGTGAACAGGCATTACAAATCAAATCAAAGGTTTGTTAAAGAAAATTTATCAATTAATCTGGTACCCTTCCCACATTTCTGTTTGCACACTCTACATTGGTCCTGGAATGTTTATGAATTTGGCAGATAAAGTAATTTCTCTTAAATGTAAAAATTGTTAAGTTTAGTGAACATTGTACAAATATCTGTTAACAATAGGGAGAGGAAGAACCAATGGATTTGGATATGTTCAACTGAAGGTCACGGTCATCATGGTGTATTTTCACATGAACACAGTGACACTTATTTGCATGGAAAAAAGATTTGTTTCATGCAGAGGAGCCCTTATTCACAATTACAAAAGGGTTTCTATAGATTCTGAAATAACTAGTTCAAAGGTCAAAATGTCAGCAATATAAAGATGAGCTCTCTTTGGACTGACCTTGTATCATCTACTTCAGTTAATCAGTTAAAATAACGCTACCTTTATTTTTCAACCTTTGATTTCATTTCTATCAGTAGTAACTTTTTAAGGATATAAGAGTGATTTGGAATAAAAACTTTTTAAAAAAAAAATTCTACCTTTCTTCAGGTTTCAGTGTTATTTGTGGAGACAAATGACCGTCACATAATTTTAGAATCAGAACAAGAAATTGGTGACCTTAAAGTGAGCTGTGTTAGACACATCAAAAACCAGGGAGGTAGGTTGACAAAGTATGGCCTAATGATATCTTGCATTCTATTCAACCTAGAATTTTTTTAGCTCACCTGAGCAAAGGCTCAAGTGAGCTTTTCTGATCAAAATTTGTTCTTTGTCTGTTGTCGTCGTTGTAAACTTTTCACATTTTCGTCTTCTTCTCAAGAACCACTGGGCCAATTTCAACCAAACTTGCTACAAAGTATTCTTGGGTAAAGGGGATTCAAGTTTGTTCAAATGAAGGGCCGCATCCTTTTCCAAGGGGAGATAATTATGAATTAGAGAAAAATTAATGGCATTTTTAAAAAATCTTCTTCTCGAGAACCACTGGGCCAGGAAAGATGAAACTCATGTGGAATCATCCTCAGGTAGTGTAGATTTAATTTTGTTCAAATCATGACCCCCGAGTGTAGGGTGGGGCCAAAATGGCCGATCAAAGTTTTACATAGGAATATATAGGAAAAATCTTTAAAAATCTTCTTCTCAAGAACCACTGGGCCAGGAAAGATGAAACTCAAGTGGAATCATCCTCAGGTAGTGTAGATTCAAGTTTGTTCAAATCATGACCCCCGGGTGTAGGGTGGGGCCAAAATGGCCGATCAAAGTTTTACATAGGAATATATTGGAAAATTCTTCCTCTCAAGAACCATTGAGACATGAAAGATGAAACTCCTGTGGAATCATCCTCAGGTAGTGTAGATGTTAAAATCATGACCCCCGGGGGTAGGGTTGGGCCAAAATGGCCGATCAAAGTTTTACATAGGAATA